AACTCTATAATGTCAAGTACAACGCTGCAAATTGGCATGTCATTTACTAATATGGAAGGCATTCGCATAGCTCTAGATAGCTACTCTGTTGAAACTTCATTGCCTTATAAATTCCGAACCAATAAACCCAACAAACTACTTGTTGTTTGTCCAACAAATGAAACTAGTAAATGCCCTTTTACTGTTTCCGCCAACAAACATAAGGATGGTTATATTCATATTATAAAAATGATCAATCATAATCAAAATTGCCCAACTTTTTCAGAAACGTTCAAAGCATGTGGATCATATCTTGTGAAGTTTACTGCATCATTAGTTGAGGATATACTAGCATTTAAATCTCAAGACATTATGAATTATTTACGTTCTGAAGTAGGTGCTGAGACATCATACATGAAAGCATAGAGAAGTTAAGTTGTTAATAGGAAACATGGTGCTGAAGAAATAGAAAGGAGTTATCAATACATAAAATCATTACTTGACAATCTTCTTATAGAGAACCTTGAAAGTGTTATCACATTTGAGGTTGATGCTAAAGATTGATTTACTTATGTATTTCTATGTTTAAGGCCTTGAATTAAAGTTGCTGAACATTGTAGGCCTGTATTTACTTTCGATGCTTGTCATTCAAAGTCAAATTACAAGGGTGTGTATTTAAGTGTAAGTGCAATTAAAGGTGAAAATAAGCTTGTTCCTATAGCATTTGCCATTTGCTCTGTTGAAAATTCTGATAATTGAATATGGTTTTGTGATTATTTGTATACAGCCCTTCCATTAATGAATACAAACAAAACTGTAATTATAAGTGATCGTGAAAAGATATACTGATTTTTTTAATATTTAATTACTTTATTAATACTTACAATTATTTATATTTAGGGTATCTCAGATGCTGTATAAACAAACTCCCTAATGCTTTTCATGCATATTGCGTATGACACATCGAAAAAAACATTAATACTAAGTTTAAAACCAAGCTTGGAGATAAAATATGAGTTGCAGCAAAAGCATTACATGTGAAAGATTTTAATATTATTATGGAGGAAATTTTTGATCTACATAAAGAAGCAGTCATTTATTTTAGTGAAATACTTCCTGTGATATGGACTCTTAGCAAATGTCCTCAAAATAGATTCAGTCATCTTACTTCTAATACATCTGAATCTTTAAATTCTTGATTATATGATAAACATTTTGTAGAGCCATTTGAAGTGATCATTTTATTTGTACATAGAGTTAATATACTTTACTACAATCGATGTATAGAATACTCTTCAGTTCAAACACTATTACCACCTTCAATTACTCAACAGCTTCAGTCAGTTATCAGCAGATGTCAAAATCGAACAGTGTATCAAGTTAATGAATCAGTTTTTGAGATTAAAAGTGATAATAGTAATTTTCGTATTGTGAATCTTACTTTATCAACTTGTTCTTGTAAACAATTTCAGGAATATCAATTTTCCTGTATACATACATGTGCTGCTATTCTTAAAGCAAGTCAACAACCCTCACAGTTCATCCATATTACATATCACACAACAGTTCTTCAAAATGTCTATAAAGAATCCATTCAACCTGTTGATGTGAAAGAATGCTTTCTTGATAATAAAACATTGCTACCAACCACAATCAAACAAGCAGGATGATCACGAAAAATTCGTTTACGTAGCTGTGGAGAAACAGCACCAGAAGATCAACTTAATTGTGGAAAATGTGGTGAAAAAGGTCATAATGTGTGAACTTGTAGTCGAAGACATCAGCAAAAATAATAATTAGTTGTTGGTTTAAAGAAATATGTATAGACGTTTAATTATTGTCAAATGCAAATTTAAAAGCTTTTTAATATAAATACAAAAATTTTTATAAATAGTATTTCATTTATTTTTTTATCTAATAAATCGGCATATAGATAACTAAATGCTTACAATTGTGATTTCGCATTACATTAGCATTCAATTATGGCATCTGCATATAGATAACTCTAAATGCTACAATTGTGATTTCGCATTACATTAGCATTCAATCATGGCATCAGTTTCAAAGTACTTTTGTGACGCGGTAATCTCGTGATCACGTTTTTTTTGACTGTCAATATATTTGGGCCCTTAGATGTAATATTTTTTAAATATTAGGCCCGTATATGTAATTATTTTTAATTTGGGCCCTTATTTGTAATTATTTTCACTTTCCGGGCCTTATTTGTAAATTCCCCTAATTTTTTTAATAGTTTATGACGGTCAAGTCTTACTCTGGAAATATAATCAGAGGCTTAACCTGTCACAGATTACAGACGTGCAGGTATGACGTGTACTATTAACAAAAAACAGTAATAATTTTCTAATCAAAGCAAAATACATTCAATAATAATAAAATCATTTGGATATATTTGTTAAAATAATGCAATAAACACTAAAAAACTGTATACAAAATAGAATAAATGTATTCGTAACAAGCTACTACATATTGAAATTTTTTACCCATTAAAAATTTACTTTTATGCAATTATTTATTCATTTTCGATGTTTTGCGATTTTTCCACCAAGTCAGCATCAGATTTTCCATCTTCAATAGTTTGCAAAACGTCTTTAGTACCTTTTACTGAATAAGTTGTGTGACTATTTACCAACACTTTGTTTAGTAAAGGTATCTCAACTTTTTCTCCTAAATTGCTAAGAAAATAATATACAATAGGTGTGTTTGAGATCCACGAAGCAGGTCTTTTATCTTCGTAGTCTGCATTAGCAAAAAACCAAATTAAATGAGAAACTCCATTTTCATACTCAATTTCCTCTTCCACTTCTACTTCGTATGGTGAATTTTCTTTATAATTAACCAATTTATGTTCATCATCTTTAAGTTTTCTTATTGATTTAATAGTCAATGGTGGTGTTTTTAGGTTTTCATTTATACCAAATTGGTAAAGGAATGACTCAAATCTACTTGCAATTATTTGCGCTTTTTTCACAAAGTAAGGATTAGATTCACCGTGTTTGATAGTTTGTAAAACGTCATTTGTACCTTTTATTGAATAAGTTGTATGATTATTTACTAACACTTTGTTTAGTAAAGGTATCTTAACTTTTTTTCTTAAATTGCTAAGGAAGTAATATACTATAGGTGTGTTTCGGATAAACGCTGAAGGTCTTTGATCCTCATAGTCTGCATTAGCATAAAACCAAATTAAATGGGAAACACCATCTTCATACTCAATTTCCTCTTTTACTTCTACTTCATAGGGTGAATTTTCTTCATAATTAGCTATTTTATACTCATCATAACCAAGTTTTCTTATTGATTTAATAGTCAATGGTGGTGTTATTAGGTTTTCATTTATACCAAATGGGTAAATGTATGATTTGAATCTAATAGGTGGTTTTCGTGGTTCAATTTTGTTTCTCACATCCTGAAGATTATATTTAATAAAATTTGAATTATATCCTTTATTATCGTTTATAACATTTTTCACATTTCCATCAAAAAAAGTATATTTTGTCCAAATAATGGTGATGATAATAAAACATGCAACAAAAAATCGATTGAATTTGTGAACATGAAATTTATGAAAAGAAAAGTTATCCATTTGAATATAAGTAATTAATGAGTAATTAGCGAGAAATCCAAAAAAAAAAGTTGAATAAGATGACCTAGATGAAGAAAAAGTCAATATATATATATTTATTTAATCTTGAGAATATGCCTTTACATTTAGAAACTATAAACGTTCTGTCGGACACTTTACTCCGAATCCATTGTTGATATGCCATAAGTAAATATCCGCGCGTTTATGTAAATTTACAATTTAAGAATCATTTGTATTAATTTAACAAAAGTAATGATTTACTCATAAATAGGAGTACCGAAAATTCAATTGCAATTAAATTATTACACAATTACAATCAGTTAAATTGTTACAGATAAACAATTGCAAAAAATTAATTGCAATTTTTACATAATAATCATAAGTTTATTTTTTTCACTATAATTTTGACGGCGGAAAAAATTGCGATTAATTGAAAAATTGTAACTGCGCCACCAATCAATTAATTGAGATCAAATAATTTCAATTAATTGCCCTCACAATCAATTATTCGGTAGCCCTGCTTATAAACAAGGTACATGACATAATTTACATACAATGTCTAAATTTTAAATAATGAAATGCGAAAACTGCCAAATTAAAGAATTTCCAATTCGTACGTACGGATTAGGAATTCTTGAAACCTCGATCTCTTTATATAGATAAATATTTCCTAAGTCATAAGTATCAATAAAATGCAAAATCTAGAATTTTACAAATAGATAATACGCCAAGAACAAAATTAAGCTGTATCGAGCCTGATAGCGTATGTTACTGAAGTTCAGCTATTGATACGTGATGACTAATTCAAAGGTCGTCTAAATCCTTGTAGTATTTTATATGCTTTACATTAAAAAACCATTAGCAATCAGTTTAAGAACGCTAAACTATCTCCTAACATAGTTTCAATTAGTTAGTTATCCTTAAAGGTGTTCTCAAGAAGCTCCCTCAATATGATTAGCTAATGATCAGGATGTGGCTCAAATTATTTGTGATTGGTGTAAATGTGGGCAGTTAATCAAAGATCAATTTTTAAAAATTCAATTGTACGTATAAAAAGCTGATTCTAAATTTTAGCTAATCAGTGCAACTCTATTAAAAAATTGGCACCATCCCAAAATTTTATTCATCATAATGGTAATTCACTCGTTTAGTTATTCAATTTCAGAATAATTAAAATTTTGCCTCCAATCTATTGATTAAAGTACTTGAGAATGCCTTTATTTTAAAGTTATTGAAGTTTCTAGATTTTTTTTTACAATTAATTCCACATGTGAACATATAACCTTGATGTTTAAAGGTACGGTATCTTTAATAATATGCATAAATATGTTACTTATATTATTTATTAGTGTCAAGTAAACTACTTGGGAGAAAAACCAGCATGAGTAATATCAGTGTCCCATATGTAAAGCCAAATTAACATGACAAGGATTCAATGAATACTTTTTACTTTGAGACAATGCAACCTTTAAATTGATTTTTGCAATACATACAGATACGGAATTTCTGAACAAAATAACATAAATTCTGAAATATTTTACTAAATGGAGAAAAGACCTAACATAAAGAATTATACCAAAATAGAGATTGATAGGAAAATGTGTTAATTTAATGAATTATACCAAAATAGATATTGATAGACAAATGTTAATTTAATGAATTATACTAAAAACGAGGCATAAATATAATATAGTTTGGATTTGATAATTAATTATACTAAAAACGATATGCTGCAGAAAAAAATGGCTCCACATAAATATATATAGCTTAGATTTGAAAATGTCTAAGTGAAGTGGAGCCGAAAGTTGTATAAAAAAATTTTTCATTGTTTATGTTGTAAAAAAAAAATGAACAGGATTTGCAAAGAGATCGAGCGAAGCGAGTTCGAGAGTTATATAAAGATTGTCATTTATATACTTTCCTATTTATATTTAAAACTAGTCTGGTGTGCTAAGTGTTGAATTCTTATCAGTAATTAGTAACATTATGTTATTATCACACCATCTAATATATCTAATTATTAGCTGAAATCAGGCCTACCGAATAATTGATTGTGAGGGCAATTAATTGCAATTACAGTCAAACCTCTTTATAATCACAACCTTTGTTTTAATAATTTGGTGTTTATGAGTTCGTACTATACAAAGGTTAAATTTTATAAGTTTTATGTAAGCTGGTTTTAAATTTTTATGTGATTATAAGCAAATGTGACTATAGAGGAAGTGACTATAGAGAGGTCTGACTGTATTTAGAACCCAATTAATTGATTGGTGGTGCAGCAACAATTAGCGTTAGTCAATTAATTGTAATTTTGGGATTGATGAGTTATTTGAGTGACGAATAAAGATTAACTAATACAATTAATTAGTAAATCTTATTCGTCACACATAATGATGCAATTTTTTGCAATTTAATTGGTTACAATTATTTTCGTGTAACAGTTATGATAAAAGGTAATTGTAATAATATTTAATTGCAATTAATTTTTCGGTACCCCTGGCTGAAATGGATGGCGAAGCGCCTGCATGTGCAATTTCTAGTTACTATAAAATTCCGATGAACATTTCAGGGAGTGTACTATGTTTATAACACTGAACTATTAAGGCAAATAATGAAATAATAGTAATACCAAGTGATTATTTAGGAACTATTTTACTATATTAAGAGATTATATTAGTACTCCATAATATCCTTTCAAACATTTAAAGGGTAATACTTTTCCAAACACATAAATTGCGCAGACCTATAAGAATAATTGATGCATCTCTGTATATATAAATACGTGTAGATAGGGTAAATATTTAAGGTTTTAAAATAAATGAAGAACAGGAGGAACCGTCGATGTTACACTAATGATTTTTCACCCGGTGTGCAGCATATAAAAAAATCATTTTACAATACCAGATCATTCCGCTAGTACATGTTATGATTATAATCCCACACCATTTTATTATAATAAAAATGGTGTGGGATTATAATCATAACATGTACTAGCGGAATGATCTGGTATTGTAAAATGATTTTTTTATATGCTGCACACCGGGTGAAAAATCATTAGTGTAACATCGACAGTTCCTCCTGTTTAAATGAAGTGAGTCAGTAAAAACGCACCAAATATTTCTAAGTAAAATTGTTAAATTTTTTGGACAAAAATAACTAAACAATAGTTCAATCAAATTTAATAAAAATATTTTAAATCAAAATTTTAAATATGTAAAAAAATTTTTACTAAATTTTGATTAAGTTATTTTAGTTTAAACATTTCAGTAAAAGATTTGGCATATGCTGTTATTATTTAGCAAATATAAGATAGAATAATAACAGATCTTTTTATTATTATTTAACTTTTATTAACCTTTATTTACTTTTTTGATCTGTAAAACTTTTACTTGTTTTCAATTTAGCTTTATTTAATAATTTTGTTTATACCAAATTAACAGATATAATTTTTATAATTTTCTATCTGTTTTTATAAAACTTATATATTGCTAGATAGTTTTGATATTTTTTTTATCTTTTTTATAAAAAATGCACTATAAATTTTTGTAGAAATCAAAACAATGTTATGCTAATATTTTAACTACTAATAATTTTTTATTTATGCACTTAATTAGAATTTTTATTTATTTATTTTTCTTTATATTTAAATATTTGTTTCTATTTTGATCTTTTATTTTTTTAAAAAATATAATTAATTATATTTTTTACTGTTTTTATTTAGTTATCTTTTTAATTAATAATATAAACCTTTATATTGTGCTTGTTTTAAAATCTAAAACTTTTTTTATAAATTATTTTGTAAGATCTTCTATTATTTTTTTAACAAAAATTAACTAAATTTTTAAGAGGTTTTCTTAACTACTTTAACTTTGTTATCTAATTTGAATTCTTTTTTTGCCAATTTATCAGCTTTATTATTCTATTTATTATTATTGTATTTTTTAACTTTAACTAATTCTACTTTAAATTTTTTAAATTTATACTATTTATACTATTTTTAATATTTTTTAATAAATTATAGTTATATGAAGAACTAAGCTAATGATAATTAAATTCAATATATAAGACAAACTTTAGTATTCTTTGTAACTATAAAAACTAAGTATATGGTAAGTGAATCTATAAAAGAAAATTACAATTTTCAGATAATATTTCATTACATCACTCTGAAAACATATCTCTAAAAAATATTTTTTATCTAATTCAAAAAATCTTATATATCAAACATTTTTATAACTACTTCTATAAATTTAAATATTACTAAAAATAATTATGAATTATTAACAAAAAATGATAATACAATTGACTTACCAATGTCAAATACTATTTAAAAAAAATTTATAACTTAACCTTTAATCTACTTAAAATATATAATTCTCTAATATGTTACAACAGATTTCTTTTTTTTTTAAATATTAAGGTGAGTACTTGTGACCTAGGATTTTATTGATAGTACATTCAGCTAATGGTTGCATTA